AAAATTTGTGTGTGCACATACATAAACTTGTACTCACCTACGTCCGCCACACTGCCCGTGATCCTTCACCCCTCTGCATTGAACCGATTAAGAAGAAGACAGAGTCGGACTGGAAAGGATCGAGAGGTAATGAACAGTGGTTCATCGGTTATTGTATTTGAGCTAGAGATCTACGGATAGCCAGTTTAGAAAAAAGGCTCTTCTTAAGTAATTTCTTTTTATTTATTTATTTTGATACAGAGATTCCAAAGTCATTTTAAAATAAAATGCATTTTATCTCAAACTATTAAATAATATTAAAGTCGATATATTCTTACGACGAAAAATTTGGGAAATAGTGACTTTTGTGCCACTCTTAGAAAGACAAATTTATTCAAATGTCACGCCAAAAAATAATTTTACTAAACTGTCACGAGGGCAAGTTCGTCCAGAGCAGTAGCAAACTTGGTATGCTGATGTGTCGCCTGCAGACCACGTGACTTGCATGCAGCAGAAGTCGCCTGTGTCAAAAGCGAACTCTGACACTACCAGGAAGCTGACACATCAGCATACCAAGTTCGCTACTGCTCTGGTGAATTTGCCCTCGTAGCAGTTTGGTAAAATTGTTTTTTGGCGTGGCATTTAAGTAAATTTGTCTTGAAACAGTGGCACAATAGTCATTGTTCCAAAATTTGGACCCTTACAGCGGAGATGGAGAATTTACAAAAATTATGGGATTTAATTTAATTTCTTAAAAAAAATATACTTGTGATCCATTTAAAATTTAAAATAGACTTGTATTAATTCTTTTCAGGAATTAATATAGATTCATTAACTCTATTGAAATATGTGTTTTATACTTTGATACTTTCATTAGCTTGTGTAATATTTATTTATGGATATAATTGATTAAATTGGGTTAAGTATATTTTGTTACCCATGACATAACCCCGTGACTTCTGATCTCTACCGAGTCGATAATCGGGCCGAGTTTTTAAACATTAATCATAACACATCAATATTTAAATTTGATATCACGATAAAAGTAAGAACAATCACATCACTACAGAAAATCTCAAAAAAAATATGTTATAATAATTTTTATCGTATGAAATTTATCATACAATATTTAACGTGCAAAATTTACTGTGATTATTTATAAAAGTTAAAGATATAACATCAATATAATCAACATGCAAAAATGAAAATAAACAATTAAATAATATATGTACATATTCATTACATATATAACACTATTACATATATGTTACTATGCACATAATTGGTTATTGCAAAATTCTACGTTTGCTTAATAATATAAATTGCAGAAAAGTAAATTAATGAAATAAAAATTATTAAATTATAAATCAGTAAATATATCTATTTACGCATATAATTATAAAGTGCGAAAATATAAATTACAAAAATATAAATTTTTAAAATATAAATTGCAAAAAATGTAAATTGCTGTAATATAAATTGTTAAAATATAAAGTGAAAAACTATAAATTGAGTTTACCAAAAAAAAAAAACTATAAATTGCAAAAATGTAAACTACTAAAATAAATAACATAAAATAAAAATGAACATAGTTTTTCATCGAGATATGTCAAGGGAATAAGAGGAAAAGTAAAATAAATAACAAAATAGCACTTCTATGGAGTTTATATTTTTTTTTTTTTGGTTTCCTAAGGTATCCTCCGGCCGAAGACTATTTCGATGCGGGAGATCACATTAAGTGGGTAAACCTTTCCCAACAAAGCCTTTTCCATACGCACGGCCAGGAATCGAATCCCTGTCAGCATGCTTAAGGAACCCAGTTATCTACCAACTGTGCTAGGCTTTGTTGGTGGAGTTTATATTTTAGATGAAAGAAAGAAATTATCCTCACCTAGCTTAGTATTTACTTTTATCTTCCTTATTATAAATTTTCCTTTCTCTAAAAATTTCTTTCTTTTTGTCCCCCTCTTTCTCAGTAGAGTTTCCTCTAGATCCCTAAGACCATTCACTTCTTGATTTCTCTCAATTTTGAATCAACATCTAATGGTTCATCTACTCTCTCTTTATAGGAAAATATTACCATGTCAATTGTAAAATTAATATGGAAAAAGTAAAATATTATATACCTCTTGGTTTTTAGAATTTCTTCTATGTATAAAAAAAATTATTTACCTAATAATCATAAAAGAAAACATTTCCATGTGGAATGTCTTGGAATTTTAATTATGAAAATTTATGATTGATTTATATATTTTTGGAGTGTTGTTTACAATAATTTATGATTAATTTATATATTTTTGAAGTGTTATTTGTAATAATTTATGATTGATTTATATATTTTTGGAGTGTAGTTTTTGATAATTTATGATTGATTTCTATATTTTTGAAGTGTTGTTTGTAATAGTTAATGTGATAGGTTATTCTGCCTACCTTTGCCTACCTTTGCCTACCTCTCTCAACATTGTTAGATTTTAATTTTATTTAATGATGGAGATTTGCGGGATAATAGAAATCCTTTTACCCTTTTTTTCTCCTCACCCTTTATCTCTCCTCCCTTGAAAGATGAAGACGTCTCTTTGACAAGAATTTGCTTTGTTAATCTAAATTCCCTAATGATTGTTTCAAAGCAAACAACTCATGTTTGTACACTCCCCCTACATTATGTGGATGGATATATAGGATACTCTCCAACCAAGTTTGAGTGTCAGCAGATTATATTCTGTTATAGCTAAGTCAGTAACATGGTAATCTAAATAAATGTTTTGATCTACATTATGTTTTTCAAGGTCAGTTTGTTGTATTGAACAAATGTCTTAATTTATAATATTATATAGGCTCATCTTCAAATCTCATCCCATTTTAATCATTGATTTTACCACACCAGTAGCATCACAATGATGTATGGGTATTCAGTTTCATATATCGGTTGATCCCACGTTCTAATCGCGTACCAATGAATTAACGAAGAAAATTCCTATAGAGTTTGCTTCTCTTCTGCAAATGAGTCGAAAGGAAAGCAATTTCTCAAGTTTAACGAAATTAGGAAGTTTAGGAACAAACCCTAATCAATCTGTACGAAAGGAAAGAAGATTTGCAAGATAATTGAAACCCTTTTACCCTTTTCTCTCTCCTCCACTGGAATGTTTTATTACATTCCATTATTAATGTAACTGTTAAATACTCAAATGACATATACGAATAATCATCAGAGACTGTGAGAGGAAAAAGTTTTAAAAATATGGATTCAACTTTTTTGTAAGAATGAAATAACATAAGATCTCTCATTTAAAATGATACACATTTTCTCCTCGTTATATTTACAATCTGCAACTTTAAAATTCTTAACCACTTGTGTGAACACATGTCAACATGATTCACGAACACCATTTCTATCACTTGGAATTTTCCAAATTACCATAAAAAAAGACTACACACGTATCTTGAGGAAACACACAAACTTTATGAACCACTCTTTCTGTAGTTTAAAAATCATATATAATCCATGCAGATATACCTGTTAACTTTATTCTTGAACCCAATTTTCAACTTGAAAATAGTACACAAATGTAGGAACAGTCAATTTATTCATGAAATATTCCATAACTTGAAAACCACACAGCCTGCAGAAATACTTGTCAAGTTATTCATCATACATTCCAAAACATAAACATTGTACACAATACCTGTCAAAATACGAATCAACTTATTCTAAAACACTCTTAAAAATTGCACACCACATGTAGAAATACATGTCAAGTTGCCAGCTTTCTCCATGATAACTTCAGTCACAGTCATAGGACAGTACCCTTTTGTAACATAATTACAAGCAAGGCAAACCTCGTCTAGAAATGCAAGTCAAATTTATTTATGAAATACCCTTGTAACTTAAAAAAAACCGTACACACCTCAACTCCTGTATAAAAATACAGGACAACTTTATTCAGCAACTTCAAAATCATACACACTTCCTGTAAGCATATACAGGTAAACTTTATTCATGAGCACCACACTCCACAAGAAAAGAAAAGCCCTCAATTTGCCAATAGTTGTTGTCATGATGTTATCCACTTATCATCTAATTGCATTCTTTGAGTCCCGTAGAACCTTCAAATTAAAAATACATTAGATAGTTGTAGAAAGTTAAAATAGTTTCAAACTTTTAAAAAACAAGGAAAATGTTGAGTCTATTCATTAATGCAGTGGTTGGCACCCAAACTTTCATAAGAAAAAAATTCATGTTTGAATCATATTTCATAAAGCATACGAATATGTGCATGAGACCATGAAATGTAGATGTTTATTTGATTTGTTAGCTAGCCTAATTTTAAAATTCTAGGTCTAACGATTATGAGTTTCTATGCATGCTAAATCAAATTGAATCCATTATCATTTATGAACATTCTTTTTTATTTCTCAAAATGAACTTATAATGTTTTACTATTTTCAAATTCATGTTTTCATGAGATGGAAAAAATAAATGCAGGAAATATAATAAGGGTAAAGTGTGTGTCATTTTAAAGGATGTAAAGTTGTGTCATTTTAAGAGAGAGAAAGAGATAGATAAAGAAGGAGAGAGAGTTGACAAAAAAAATAAAGGTGTGGGTCCCACCTCATTGTGAGAGTGAAAGGATATAAGTTGTGTTATTTAAAAGGATAAACATTTTTCCCATATAATAAACTCACCAACATTCCATGTTTTCTGCTCTGTTGCTTCTTGAAAAACTAGACAACAAATTTTCAAGGCTAGCATAAGTGAATGCAATAAGAATAAGCTTTCTCCCACCGGACAACAATTTCCTGAAACAAATTATTAACAAAAAATGATGTGATCAGATGAGATCAAAATAATTTAGTTAAAATACATATTGATTTAACGTTCCGAAATCTTCATAGATGTAGAGGACATAAACAAATGACCACTAATAATTAGATGATGAAATGAGCCTTCTCAGTCAATTAACAATAGTTGAAGGAATTTAGCAGATAATATGTTCCAAAATTGAGGCAATATAATTTTTCTGGTGTGCTTAGCTTCCAATTAGTGCACTGCACAACACGAAAATATGCAAATTGAGAAGACAGAGAGGAAGTTAGTTAAATAACATATATTGCATGTCCATAAGAATCAGCAAATAATATACTCACATACACTAACTCATTGGTTCATCAGCATCCTCGGTTGTATTCTCCCACTTGTTTTTTTATTATATTATTTATATTCATTCCAGAACACCATGCACCGTCTATTCTCATCTCCACTTTACCATATTCTTCAAAGGCACCATTACAGAAACATTTCATGCTTTGGCATCGGGTGATGGACACCTCAGACAAGGTTGGGAAATGCAAAAAGGAACTCCCCGAGCAAAAGGATTTAAGTTCTGGCAACGAGTCAAGAGTCAATTCCCCAAGCTGCACGAATATTATCATATTATCTGTATCTTGTTCCTCGCCCTCTGTAAACACTATTTCTTCTATTGATACACAGTTGGCTATACGCATCTTCTCCAGTTTAGGCAATGTTTTGACGGTTGAGGATGTGAACAAATATTTCAATCCACCACAATCCTTTACATTAAGCTGTATCAGATTGCAGAAAGACAAAGTGGATGGTGTCAAGTTTGTCAAACAATTGCATGCCGAAACAAGTAATGTTTCTAGATTTCCAAGGAATGGGCCTACCCAGGAATGCTCTAACCCTATGGATTTAAGCTGAGACAGACTCTGAAGCTCCAATCCTTTAAGCTGTGAAAGGATTTTAGTACAATCTATGTCAGGCCTTTGAGAGGGGAATATCTCTTTGAAGGCATTATCAACCACCCCAAGCTTTTCAATTCTGGATAACGTCAACTTTGAAAGGAAAACAAATGGAAATTCTTCTGATTCATCATGAAAGAATTGCAAATTGAGGGAGTTTATTCTTTGATGGTCAACATGAAGTTTTCCTTGCTCCATTTTCATGGCTTCTTCCTTAGTGAGCCATAGTACCTTCAAGTTGGGAGTAACCTAGAATTCAAAATAAATAAGAAAGATGAGAAGGCAAAAAAGGATTCTGTTGGGAATAAAAAATATATATATGAAGAGGAGAGATTCGAGATAGGGAGATTTGAATTTTTTTAGTTTTTATTTTTGTGTAATTTATAGAATTACAACTTCGACAAAGATAAAAAAAGCATAATTTGAATTTAAAACTAATAACCGTCATAACATAACTCCTAATAAGATAATTTAAACAACTAAGAAAAATATAAATTAATCTAATAACAAAGAACTAGGAAAAGAGGATAATGATAAATCTTGATTGCTATAGATTCCTTGATATATAATTAACTGAAGAGGAAAAAATTTAGATAATGATTTATTAAATAAAAAAAATGGGATCTGAATTTATTACAAATGGGTTACTTCATCGAGGTTTAAAGAGTTGAGTGGATATATTTTTGTTTTGTTATAGTAAAAGAAAAGTTCAAGAGACATGCTTGAGAGTTGCAATCTACTTTTATTTCAACTAAATACCATTACTATTTCCAAAAAAAAACTAAATACCATAAGATATAAGTGCAACGTTTATTATAAAAGCGTTATTCGACTAAAATGCCTATATAACATCCTTTGAAACATGAGTATAAATGAGGTTATTTGGGAACTATTTGAACTCATCTTTTTGAATATTCAACCAAGCTTATTTGTTTTAAGGATAGTTTATTCTATCTACCTTTTTTACTGCCTACTTTTACTTACCACTCTAACGTCATTAGATCAGAATCTCAATAGGAGAGAGAAATAATAAAGATAGTTGAGATTCTAATATGGTGTTGGAGAGTGGTAGGCAAAAGAAGACAAAAAAAAAAGAGGTAGGTAGAATAACTTATCCCTTTGTTTTATTAAACAAGCTAGCAAGCTTAACTTTAGACTCAATTATATAAGTCACCTCACCTCAAATGATCTTATATGATTGATATTAAAAGTCCGTGAATAAATGTATCAAAAAAAAAAGGATAGGTTATTTTGCCTACTCTTAATTTGCCTACTTTTATCTACCTCTCCTAACACCGTTAGATTATAATCTCATCCAACGGTGGAGATTTGCAAGATAAAATAAACCCTTTTACCCAATTTTTTCCTCCTCACTGTCTCCTACCCTTTCTCTCTCCTACCCTTTTTCTCTATCGATAAAAATAGAAACAGAGAAACACATACAATCAAAATTCCTTATAAGTTTGAATTGATTTTTTGTTCACATCTATTTGTTATGCCTCTGGTAAAATAGTTCTGTTGAACGTGGTTGATGTCCAAGATGCCAATAGTATGACATTTATTCGAATACCAAATCCCTAGCTTTCTCTCTCTTCAATGGCGCTTCAGCAACTAAGCGAGTACAAACGCAAGCAAGTCGACAAGATCGCATGAGGATAAAATCAAATTAACCAAAGATCTATAATTAAATAATAATGTGAATTCGACATATATGATTAATTAGCAAACTCTGACAAAATTTGGAATAGTATCAATTACAATGGGTCAAGGGAAAAATAATCGTTGGCGAAAGAGAAACACCTCTTAAATTTGAATTTTCGACTCTGTCCTTTATAAAATTCCAAAATTGATGGTAGGCTTGATGAAGATGATGGTCGTTGAAGGGGGTGGGATGACAGAGAAAGGGTGGGAGGCAGTGAGGAGAAAGAAAGGGGATAAAAGAATTTATTTTATCCCGCAAATCTCCAACGTTTGAGGATATTATAATCTAACGATATTGAGAGGGGTACGCAAAGATAGTCAAATTAAGAATAGGCAGAATAACCTATCCAAAAAAAATTCTGTGAATAACTTATGTATGTATATATAAAAATACTAATTATATATTTCTATTCTTAGTAAATTGAAATTCCATCTATAGAACCATAATTACGTTACTTTCATATACAAAGATTTTATTTTTTTTACTCTCTTTCTATTTTTACTTCACTTTTTATTATAAAAATATCTAATAAATACTAGATTAATAAACTTAAATAATATTTTAAGAACATATTTGATAAAAAAGAACAATTAATCAACTCAATCACAAGGTTAATATTTTTAGAAAAATAAAGTTCAAAATTTAAATTTGGCTCATCTAAATAAATCAGCTAAACTTAACATTTTCTTCTTCTTCTTTTTTTCAAGTCAAGTCTAAGTCAAACATATTTACACTCCTATTTTTGAAATTATAAGAATCTCAAAAGACTAGGCATGATACTTTAAAATTTCTTTCAAGATTGTCGAGGTGTTGGGAAAAATTGTTTTTCCCTATGGTATCAATAAGTTAAAAGAGAGAGAGGATCAGACTAGAGATGAAGATGACACATTTTTAACATGAAAAACTTCCTAAATGTGAGGAGTAAAATACTATGGGACCAAAGGTCCGAGAGATATCGCTCACTTTGAAAATGAGATTACAAGGGGTATTTCTCTCTGGTAAAAAAATAAGATGTTTACTCAATTCCTCACCCAACAAAATGATGGATTACGAATAGTCTCTCTTTGGTGAAGGGATGCTTGGTTCTAGTGGATTGCTGCAAATGTGGTTGAGCTTGAGGCTCTAATTCGTCGGGATCTCCTTTGTTGGGAACTACCATCTCCAAGAAAAAAGTTTATTTGTGACAAAAAATTTCGTCATAAATTTTGTCACAAATGAAAATTTTCGACACAAATAATCAAATTCCGTCACAAATGAACTTACGACGTAGGAATTTGTGACGAAATTTACTTCCGACGTAGGAATTTGTAACGAAATTTCATAAAATTTCGTCACTAATAATTTTTTTTCTTGTAGTGTCAAAAGGCTCCTGGGTCGCTGGAGCTATATTTTCACAACTACCTTTTTCATTGTTAACTTGTAATGGCTCTCCTCCTAATTCATCATGTTCTCTAGGGTAATACAAGATCAGATTGGGTAACAACCCTCACCTTGGGCTTATTGATATCTTCAAGAGTTTGATCTTTGAAGAAGACAACATATTGACTCCTCACAATGTTTCTTTTGATAGGATACTATAAGCGATAGCCAAACTCATCTCTTAGTGAACTGAGGTATATACACTCTTTGGTCTTTGCAATAAGTTTAGATCATTTTCTTTAGGAATGTAAATGAACACTCGAAAACTAAAGACTTTGGAGTGATTGAATGACAGCTTCTAATTTCTTATCCAAACTTTGTCTGGAATTTCTCCATCTAGGGGTCTTGAAGGTGATAGGATGATTAAGTCAATTGCGGTCTTCGCAACCTCTCTCCAAAATGGCTTGGGTAATTTGGCATAAGATATCATGCATAAAGGACTATCTTTAATGGTTCAATTTATCCTTTCAGCTATACTATTTAGTTGTGACGTCTTTGGAGGGGTCTTCTCTAGTTTGAAACCTTTTGACTTACAACTTGCTTCAAATGGACCACGGTGCTAGCCACCATTATTTGCTCGCATACTCTTCAATTATCTCTCTGACTGTTGTTCTACCATGGCATGATACTCTTTAAATGATTGGAGGACTTGATATTTCATGTTTAACAAAGACACCCACACTTTTCTTGAATGATCATCAATAAAGGTGAGAAAATAGTATGCATTGCCAAGAGATTTTTCAGTCATAGAACAGACATCAGTATGGATCAGGTCAAGGATATAACTTCTCCTTCTAGGTTGATCTAGTTTCTAGAATGATACTTAACATTGTTTACCAATTAAGTAGTGAGTGCACGACTCTAGCACTCGACCTTTCACGTCAGTTAGCAATTCTTTTTTAGCAAGAAATCCTTTTTCCCTCATGTGATGCCTTTTGTGCCATAGCTCCATGCTTGATCCATCTTAGGCAACGCTGACCCCTCCTTTGCTAATTATTCCTTGCATAACGTACCAGATGCCTTCTTTCTTACCTCATCAATGACCATACTCCCTTTAATGAGTTTCAATCTGCTAGTAGATATGTGGTTGGGTTATATGTTCGGAACATGTTTTAACTCCTTAAGTATAACTTGCATCCCACATTAGTCATCAAAGTGACTTAACCAATCCCAACGATTTTGCTGGTAAATTGATTTCCCATTTTGACTGTGTTGAAGCCACCACTTCGGTAGGACGGAAAGAAACCTTCATGAGGAGTAACATTACAGGATGTACTCAAATCAACTATCAACGAATAATCATCATAGGCAACGTTAAGGTAAAGAAACCTTCATGAGGAGTAACATTACAGGATGTACTCAAATCAACTATCAACGAATAATCATCATAGGCAACGTTAAGGTAATTATCTTCTCCAATTTGGAAGATACAGTCTTCAAGGGTTGTTCCAATAGCTAAGGAGTATAAGGGCTTACATCTCGTCATCAATTTTCATCTTAATCTTTGTTAATTGATTCACGATTCCTTGTAGGTGTTTAAGCTTCCAACTTTAAAGTTCTAATCCGCCAACCATCGCACCAGGTGAGCTTTATTATGAAATGTCTTCTTTTGGGTCATAGATTCTTGCTTCAACCACAATTCATAAGCGCGGGTATATGTTGACATATGCTCGAACAAGCTTTTGCCGATCTATTTGCGAATCATTGCAACCTTTTTGCAATTCAGAAGTTCCTATTCTTTATCACTCTTTCTTTTTGGCTTCTTTATGCTTAGGATCAATTCATACAAATCCTTACAGTAAAGGTGGTCCTCTATCATGGGTTTCTAATAGGAGTAATTCTCCACAATGAACTTTAACTTGTCACCATAATGAGTGACGATAACCTCCATCTTGATTCTAATCACGTCCTTGGTCTAAAAGCTTTGATACCGTTGTTGGGGAAAATTGTTATTCGATATTTGTAGGAATAAGTCAAAAGAAAAAAGAAAAAAGGTGATAAGAGAAGAGAAGAAGAGCAAACAAATTTATAATGTGGAAAACCCCCTCAATTTGAGGAGTAAAAAAGCACGGGACCAAAGGTCCAAGAAAAATGATCCATTATGAAAATCGGATTACAATAGGTATTTCTCTCTAGTATGAAACAGAGAGGCTTACTCTCAATTCCTCACCAAATAGAAGGATTGATTAAAAATAGACTCTCTCTCTCTCTAAAGAAGATCTCTCTTCTTACTTGACAATTACTTGCTCTTATAGATGGCTAGGATGACTCTCTTCTACTCCATTTAATGAGAATTTTAATGCAACCTTAAATTTTTCCATAAAGTTTTTTCATTTTTCCCATGCATAGGGACTTAATAAGACATTAACCTTTCATAGTCCAATGATGTATCTAATTAAGGAGAAATAACTCTAAGAGAGGGAAATCAAAACACAGACTTGAAATATACCTAAATATCTAAGATATCAGAATAACCATGAGAATCTTTGTATTTTACATGCCAGTGCATCTCCAGGCTTATCATGTGAGAGGAAACTAGGGATATAGAAATAGCAAGTTTAAGAAGTAGTTTAAAGCAATTTTTCTAATGGCAATTACCATAACTAACAAATCTATTTGACCGATTATCATTTGCCCAATAATATGTGCAATATGAATATATAACAATTTCTTTTACTATCTAAGAATCTCTCATCTCTAGATAAATAGCCTTATACACAAACACAAGATAAAGTCAATCACAAATTTGTAACACAAGGAGGATTCTATATATCCTGACAATAATTTTATACGCAAAAAATGCAAAGTGTTTAGGCGAGAGCTTTCGTATACAAAAACAGTTCATACCTTTTCAAGTGAGATAAAGACTTGCTCGTCTGTTGGAGAACTATCTTGACCCTTTGGAAGGGAATCTGGAAAAGTTTGAAACTCCTTTAAAAGAATCTCCAGCATTACATCTATTTCTTTTAAACTAGGCCATTCTAGAATGTGCATTCCAGGATAAATGCACCTCAGATTTGGCAAATTCCGTAGCCTTAGAGAAGTTATGTTGGGTAATATAATAAGTTCTTTATTTACTTCGTCTTTGGTTGCTTCATCCTTTGCAAAAATATCCTCTAACCCTTCACAGTTTTTCACGTGAAGTTCTTTTAGTCCATCTGTGGCTACTGATGCTGGAAACAAACTTTTTATTCTTTTACATCCATCAACATAAACTTCTTCTAGAAATGGAAGGCTGAGACTTCCTTGAGGATCCTTATTCCAAATGTGCTCTAGACTTGGCAAATTTTGTAGCCTCAATGAACTTATTTTAGGCAATATAGCAAGTTCTTTATCTGCTTCTTCTTTGGTTGCTTCACCCTTTGCAAAAATTTCCTGTAACCCTTCACAGTTTTTCACATCAAGTTTCTGTAGTCCATCTTTGACTACTGATGCTGGAAACAAACTTTTCATACTTTTACATCCATCAACCCAAACTTCTTCTAGAAATGGAAGGCTGAGACTTCCTTGAGGATCCTTATTCCAGATATGTTCAAGACAGGGCAATTGGTCCAAAATCAGTTTCTTTAAGCGAATGGAGAGGGGTTCAGGAGCAGTTCCCATATAAATCATATGATCAAATATTGCCTTAACAAGATTACATTTTCTCACTTGCAACTCTTCCAAGTTAATTAGGACAGGAAGTAAATGAGAAGGTAGTATGGCATCTGATACAAATTTACACCCTTCCACGACTAAAGAAATTAAATAACGGAAGCCCCAGTCTGGGACTGACTCTGACTTAAGCCATATCTTTTGCAATACTGGAGAATCCCCGATAACCAAATGACCCTGAGCAAGATAAAGAATAAAGATATGAAACTAGTTAGTACTTAATACTTATTGAAGGATACATTATTATCGTTTGTCATTATGTAGAATTTCAAATGTGTTGTACTCATCTTTCTTTTTTTTCTTTTTTTTTTGTCATATTGAAGTATTATAATTCCTCAGTTTCTCTTCTTTACAAATCTCTTTCGTTCATCATTTTACCTCATTGTAAGCATTTTCCTTTCTACTTTTTTTTTACAAGAGAAGGTCAGTTCCATCAAAAGCCGAGACCAATGCATGACTTGGCATTTGCTCGCTTGATTGTTTTGTACAACACCGATTATAAATATGAAACAATTTTATTTTATATAGTTACATATGAGTAAAAGCAATCGACGGAAGTGTAAAATGTAAAATCCCATCGAAACCTTAGCTGCACAAGTATAACGTAAACGGCACTATAACCCAATTTTCTTAAAAACACACTTAATGTAAATGGCTAACATTTCTTGCAAAATAGCGAGTAAAATGTATTCATAAATATAATGATAGGAAAGTCATGAAGATATTAAGTTACCAACAAATTATCAAAATATTAGAATCATAACTGTAAGGAAAGGAAGTATATAGATATTGTTATGCAATGCTATAATTGATTGTTTGGATAAGGCTCGTATGAAGAGATTAATTAAATTAACGAAAAAATTGAATTCATAATTAATTGATGTGGATGAGGTCCTTACCTGCCGTAGAAGAAACACCTTTTTTAGAGAGTCGTTAACATCATTGTTGAAGATCAAATCATCATTTGAGTTAGCCGAAGCTTGAATTCCCCTAAAAGATCTGGAATTTACTGATCCTTGGGAAAAAATTTCCATCCTGTAGCAATTCATTATGTCCACTTGTATCAGAGACGGTAATTCCAAGGTTTCATTGCCTGAATAAAAATGTTTCAGCCTTAATAAATCTTTTAGAAGTATCCAGGTCAGCCGCTCAAATTTGATCCCTTCTGAAGTTGTTTCAACTTGCTCTTTTTCCACTATCTCTATCATATGTGCACAATTCTCAACTTCAATCTTCTCAAGGCTATTTAACATTTTTACAGTTGAAGATGTGAACAAATACTCCAATTTATGACATGCCCATATACTTAATTCCTTTAGATAGGAGAAAGATACACCAGAATGAGAATGTACTAATGTTGTCAACTCAGGACACCAGGAAACATACAGTTTGTGGAGCTTTTCACAGAGTGTGTTTAACCATGATGAGTCCTCTGACCCAATGCGCTTGAGCACATCAACTTTGTGAAGTGTCAATACTTTCAAATGTCCAGGCATCCCTCGTTCAGCAATTTTGGGCTTTTGTGAGAGCATAAGTATAGTCAGATCTTCTAAATTGGGTGCCTTTTCGAGTATTTCAAAGAGCATAGTAGACTCCTCCTTCTCATCCAAAGTTTGTTTCCCATCGAGCACCAATTCCTCCAGGTTGGAAATGGCCTAGTAAAGGAAAAACAAATCGAAAAGAAAGGGTTGTTAATTAGAAGATGAGAAGAACAAATGTTAAGAGAGTTCTAGGCTCTCATTTATTTTCCACAAAACAAGGGCATTTTTAGAAATAAATTATCAAAATAGGGGATTAAAAAACTATTTACTAGTTTGGTGTAGTTGTAAGCACATTACAATTATTTTATATCATCATTAGTTTAAGTTGCAAGAGGCTTGTTACTCTTAATCAGGTCTCAGAAACATGGAGAAATAATAATAATAATAATAATAATAATAAAAAAAAAATCATTTGATTTTAAGCTACTTACCCATTGATTTACACTTGGAAATAGCACCAACTTGCAATTGCCCACTGATAAATGATTTAACGAGGGGCATTCCAAAGTGATTGTTCCAGGGCAAAAGTGAGTGAGTCGTGGCAAATTCCAAAGAACCAGCGAGGTTAGACGAGGGAACACAAACTTTTCAGTTACTTGTGCAACTGCTGCTTCTTCCTGTACAACAATTTCTTCTGTTTCTTGTGCAACTGCTTCTTCTTCCTGTCCAACAATTTCTTCCAACTTCTCACAATTTTGTACTTCAAGTTTCTCAAGCTTCTTAAGATTTTTGGCCAGGGCAGCGGGAAACAGAGTTCCCAGTTTATAACAACTACTAATAAAGACTTCTTGTAGATTTTGAAATTTGAGAGTTCCTTGACCAGTCTTTTTCCACACATGCGTCAGCTCATCTAGCCGACTTAAAGTCAATTTCTTCAACTGGAATGATGTTTCTATAATCTCAGTGCCATTCATATCAAAAACTGCCTTTACTTTCTTACAATTCCGTACTTCCAATTCTTTTAATCTATTTAAATAAGGAAGAACATGTGATGGAATTGCACATGGTGGTTGAATTTCACAGTTGACCAGCTTCAAAGTTTTCAAACTGTAAAACCAATTGTTTTCTATATCAACTCCATCATTCCAGGCTTGTTGTAGCTTAGGATGTTCGGAAAGACTCATCTTCTCCAAGCCTTCAAAAAATTTCTGCAAATATTGCAAATAAGTATATAATCAGATTTATCATATTTCATCGAGCCCAAATGAAAAGCTATAAACATCATTACACTGCTTTTCTAATCAGCATCATTAAATTGAAAAGAGAAACTCGAGCAAGTAGCAAAATGGACTAAAGTTGATATCTCAGTACTAAATCATAATTGTCATTTTTTTTTCCTTTTTTGAAATGCAGATCAATATTTGTTTTAAATTAGTTAATATGCACGTACCTTTTCCGCAAACATGTTTTGTATAGTATCTTTTAAATGACCATGCCAGGACCATCTTTTCTCTTGTTCATGTACAACATATATTTTTTGTAAAATTGAAGTGCACTTGACTTTTTCAGAGAAATTTTCCATTTTGGTACATCCACTCACTACTAATTTCTCCAACGATGGGAACTCGAAGCCACAATTGTTAGAGCTGCAGAAACTTTTGAGGTTCTTCAGCGACACAAGTTCCAGATTTTTTAGTTGTTTGAAAACAATGTCAACAAAGTCTGCATTTCCTTGCTCTGATACAATTTCCTTCAGAGATTCACATTTGATTACCTTCATTGTTCTGAGATGAATCAAGCTTTTTGCAGTCGATGGTGGAATTAAATTTTTCAATCCATTACAATTAACCACTTCCAGATCTGTCAAGTGAGTAAGAGATACAGAGGTAGGCACTATAGTGACCAATCGAGGACAACTTTCTAAAATCAAGAACTCTATCCTTTGAAGAAGTATGTCTTGTTCAAAGCCTATCTTCTCAAGCTTAGGCAAGTCTATTAACTTCAAGCTTTTCA